TCCTCACCAACTTTTCAAACCCATAAACAGTTAACAAAAATATATATATTTATATATATATATATAAATAAAAATGAGTACGTACTTTAAGCTTGGAAATTTTAGACGAAAACAAATATGAGCAAAACTTAAAAAGATATATATATATGTATATATATTGTTGTCTCTATATAAAATTGGTTTGTTGCAGTGTTCTTTTTGGATGTTGCTTGCCAAACAACAATTTTACCCTATGCAAAAAGTTTAAATTGGCTATGATCAATATCCGTCATCGAAGAGAAGGATTTTAAGCTTCGAGCTTGTCCTTGTGTTATCCTGTTTGAAATAGGGTGCGAATAACCAGAATTTATATATTTGCTGTAGTTAATGTTGTTAAATATGCAAGAAGATAGCCTTTCGCTTACACTCGATAATGATCCCCTCGCACGAGCCAATTGATTGTAAAATCATTCCCAAACACATAGTTTTAAGTCATCGACTTGGAATTACAGTCAGATTTTGAGTCAAATCAGTTGGGCAAAAAATCAGCTGAATCCAAATGTGGTTTGGCTTCAAAAAAATTAGATTATGCATAAATCATAATATTTTATCTTCTTATTTACGTTTTGCTCGTTGAGGCTAAATAAATAAGAAATAAACAATTTTCTAAAAAACTTCATTTCTAATTTATTTTTTTTATTTTAAACAAGAAGAAGTTACGCGCGTCGCTAGGCTTAGAAAAAATAATGTTCAGGATATAGTTGCTACCGAACTTGTACGCATTATTCCATCCAATTTAAGATTTTTATTACACCCGTCTATGCTGTAGTTGACAGAACACGCTCATAAAAGAAAATATTTTAATCAATAATCTCAATTCAACATATTATTTCTGTTTTATGTTTTTATACCCTGAACCCATTAAAAATGGGTATAAGGTTATATTGTATTTGTCCAAAACCCAAATGTATGTAACAGGCAGAAAGAACCATTTCCGACGATCTAGCCATGTCCGTCTGTCTGTCTGTCCGTCTGTCCGTCCGTCCGTCTGTCCGTATGTATGAACGCAAGGGTCTCAGAACCTATACGAAGAGACTGAAATTTAAGATGTAGGTGCTCCTAGTGCACGCGCAGATCGAGTTTTTTTCGATAATCGATAACTTCCTCCGTTTCCAAGCAATCGATAAAAATCGATATCAATATCCTGTTTTTTGGGCAATTTTGGTAAATAATAAAAGCTAGAGTCACCAAACTTGACATATAGCTTCTAAAGTAGAACATATATATGCATTTGATGTTGGAAGAAGAGGGTTCAGGGTATCCCCTAGTCGGGAGCTCCCGACTAGAACCTCTTGTTGTTTTTGCGAATAGTAACAAAATAGTACTAAATAACCGAATATATAGATCAAAAATTGCTTTTAGATTTGAACCGGCAATTTCTCGCTTGCCCAGAAACACACTTTAATACCTCAGACAGGCTTTTTATTATTTTTAAAGATGTTTTTACACTGTAAACAGAGTTAGTTGCACTCGATTGCAATTTTCCTACATTGGTATTTATGTTAACTATTTTACGACTTTGGCTTGCATCAAGTAATCGCAGCGTGTGACAGAAATAAATGCCAACTACGTCACATGCAAAATGTTGCTATTTTGGCAGCTGTTTCTGTGGACGACGCACTTGAGGGGTGTGTGTACGGGAGATGACTGTGTTGCCAACTGTTATGTAACGCATTTATTGTGTAATGTGCAAAAAATTGGGCTCGCGCGTTTGCCCAAGTTGCCATCTCAACTGCAAAATAATTAAATTCCAGCGGCAAAGCTTATGCCGAGACTTTTGCCTTGCGCAAATGTCTTTGCAATTGCATGCAAAATGCTCGACTGAATGTGTGCGGGTGTGTTATGTGTGTGTGTAGCAGAAAGTTGTGCCCTCAGCTTATTGCTGCCTTCCCGCTGTGCATTTTGTTGTTGTTGCTGTAGTTGTTATTGTTGTTTGTTGCGTTCATCTGTTGTTGTTTGCTTTCTTACGGCTTGTCAGTGGCTCAGTGGCTCAGTGGTGCAGTGGTGCAGTGCTGGGAATTATATCGTTTGGCTTGTTGTTGTCATTGGCTTTGTTGCAGTTTTCTTTCACATACCGGAAGGAAATGAGCAAAAATGACAAAGTTAACGGATGCGCACAAAACACAGTACACAGACCCATGTACACACAAAAGCCACACACACACGCACACACATGCAGAGAACATGATGTCCTGCGTGTATGCCCAATGCCCTGGCACAGGATATGTGTGCGGAAAGCACAAAATTTTACATGTATTTGATTTATGTGCGCTCTCAACTCTCAAGCAACACCAATGTGACCTGTCGGTGTGCTTGTGTGTGTGGTGGTTGTGAAGTTCCAATACACACACACACATATACATCTATACTTGTGTCGTGCATATTTCAGCACTTCTGCGGAGCAAATGTCCTGGCAAGTAAGCAAATCATAGCCTACATTTCCGTTGTTGTTTTAACAAGCCAAATGCGACTCCCTTTTTTGTTATTTTTTGATGCATTTGCTAACGGCATTACAATTTTGTCATAAAATTTGTAACGCTGGGGAGTAGAAATATCTGAGTCCATTGAGTATATATATTCTTGTTCAGGATCGGCAGCTTCGTCCGTTTAGTTACGTTTGTCGGTCAGTCTGCTTTTCATTTGTAACTTAGTCTCTTTAATGAGGTACATCGTGCTGTTGAAAGCAGTTCATTTATCGAAACCGGCCAGATTGCATCTCTGTTTCATATAACTGCCCCTAAGCTTTGTATAGGATTGATGGGTCTAACAATAAATGCTAGTAAACTTTGGTATAATCGTAAAAAATAAAATTTGTTGTTATTTAATCTAATTTTTAATTCAAATAAGGAGGGCTTATTGTTTTACAGAACCCTGTCTTATCGTTCTTCTATATTATAATGCAGCCATAGAGAGAATAGAAAGGGAGAGAGGGTATTTGATTTGCGGCAGATCGTTGCAAATTTTACTTTCTTGTTTTTTCCTTAAGTTTTTGTTTTGCCAGTTTCTTTTATTCCACTTTGGATGCGCCTGAGAGTGCACATACTTTTCCTCAGCTCTGCTGCATATAAGCCTGTAAAAGTTTCTGCTTGAAATTTCCCATAAATTTTCCAAGTCTCTTACAATAAAACCGTTCCCTCGTTTGCCATATCAACGGACGCATATAAAATTTTCGTGGCTTTAAATTTAGGCCATTTCTAGTCTTTAAATAAGTATCGATTCCGTCTAAGCATTGTCTATTTAATGAGTCAAGAGTCCGGCTGTCATCAAACCGTACCCAAGAACCCATACAGTATATCGGACCAAGAAGGCAATATAAGCTGCTAGCTGGGTTTTGTGACAGGTTGGGATTGAACTCGGGGTTGGGGCTGATTGAAGTTATGTTTTGGCCTTTTTGCCTTTTATTGTTTTGTTTTGCCTTCGTTTTGAAATTTCATTTATCAGCGCCATAAAACGTTACTTACCATGGCCCCGAGGCCCCTGACCCCTCCCCAGACAGCACAGAAAATAACATTCCCGACTACTACAAACTGGGCCCATTGCCATCCCGTGTCAACAGGCAATTAGTATAAAAGCCTGCAGACTGAGTATGCAGGGTTCGGCTGGGCACAACTGTTGCCCAGGCCCGTCCTGGGAACTGTGTTGGAGGCGCCAGGTATGGGCCACCGTCTACAATTACGAGTATGCTAAATGCCAGGCGACTGAAAAATGTGGCTTTAAATTGCATGAAATCATCGCATCGCATTCCGCAACTAATGAAATTAGCGATATGACTTGTCCCTTGCCCCCCAACTCTACACACACTAACGAGGTCAATCCGGGGGCACGCTGCAATAAAAATGTCACCAAGTGAACCTTTTTTAGCCAGCACCCGGGGGCCATACTGTTGCTGTCCCGTTTTGTATACCCATTAAAAGTGGGCAAACTAAAGGGCATAATAATGTTTTGCATATGTAATAATGTAAATACATATACATATTTATACCCTGAACCCATTAAAAATGTATATAAGGGTATATTGTATTTGTGCAAAATCCAAATGTATGTAACAGGCAGAAGGAAGCATCTCCGACCCCATAAAGTATATATATTCTTAATCAGCACCAATAGCCGAGTCGATCTAGCCATGTCCGTCTGTCTCTCCGTTCGTCTGTCCGTTCGTGTGTATGACCGCAAGGATCTCAGAGCCTATAAGAGCTAGAGACTGAAATTTTAGATGTAGATGCTCCTAGCTCCCGCGCAGATCGAGTTTGTTTCCGATAATCGATAACTTACTCCGTTTCCAAGCAATCGATAAAAATCGATATCGATATCCTGTTTTTTGGGCAATTTCGGTACATAATAAGAGCTAGAGTCACCAAACTTGACATATAGCTTCTAAAATAGAATATATATATGCATTTGATGTTGCAAGAAGAGGGTTCGGGGTATCCCCTAGTCGGGAGCTCCCGACTAGAACCTCTTACTTGTTTTGATCTGTTATCTGTTCGTTAGACTGATCCCTCTCTGTTAAAAATTCGAAAAGCTTAAGACTGGAAATGTACAGTAAATATATATTTGTTAGTCATTCGAAGAACAGGTTTTTCAATTTTCTTTCATATGTTTTTCACTTTATCACAATATCACATTATTTTTTTAAGGAAAACTCGAAGATTATTAGAACCAGAAACATTCAATTTGGTATTTAGGTTAGGTTATACTAAAAAACTTTAAAATATTTCACAATTTGGAAACATCCTTCCTATCCTTCGAACAATTGATAAAAACAAATTTTCGGAAATATAGACTGCGCCCTAAGTATACAGACTTTTTTATAGCATGTTAAAACTCTGGAAATTTGATCATTATTGGACTGTTAATATTCAGTAACGTATTTTCCAAAATTTTAGTCTGGGGAAGGGGAAGCCCAGTCGCTGCATGAAGTGTGAACTTTGAGCCCTGGTCGTGTGTGTACGTGCTATTATTTTGTAGAAGATTGAGCTGCTCGTAACTGTCTTTTGGCGCTGGCTGCAGAGTATTTCTTAGTTAGTCCTACCCGACTGGAGCACTTTAACACGTTGTCGCAATAGTTTTGCCTATCGTGTCAACGACAACAAAATTCTCGGTATGACTTTTCCTGTTCGTTGCTTCAATTGGATTTTTTTGTTTATCTCGGCGGTAAGCTTGTCTCAAATATTATGGAACATTCAAATATATTTCTGCTGTATTCGTTCAAACAGATTTTGGAATTGGTTGCGATATATAATCTGATTGAGCTGCTTTACTCGCACTGTGTGCGTGGTGGCGAGTATGGGATATCGGTGTGGTTCTTTATATATTTTCTACCAGCGATTGCCGCTCATACAATTTTATTTGTCCTTTTTCGACTATTTTGTCGCACTGTCGGCCTGGATCCCGTTGTGCGTATTTTGCTGTGAATTTACCATGACCAACATACATTTACAACCGAATGCACTTTACAGGCAATTGTATTCAATCTGACCAGCGGCGTCATATTGATTATTGCCACGCTTATCGAACTCATCGCGATGAAGGATCATTGCGGCAATGAGTTTGGCAAATTGTTCTATATCTCTGGTAGCTGTGGACTGATTGCGGGCATATTCCATCTAGGTAATGGCATCATGTGCCTCATATTCATTCCACCGGAGGAGGCGTATGTATTTTACAAATGTTTCATTTCCCGATAATCACTTGTAAATTGTTTGCCTCTGTTAGACGTTATATAAAGTCCTCAAGAAAGTCAAAAAAGAACCTATCGTGACATACTGAGAGTCGATTATATTGTACTGGACGAAATCGAAATAAATTATGCCTGTTTAAATTAACCGGTTTGGGAAGGGCAGTGTTGTTCTCAAGGTCTCAAAAACAAGATTTTCTGATTTAAAAAAAAAAAACTTTGTAAATGTTTTTTAATTAAAACGGAGTTAAAGTTAACATTTGATCATGCAATTAAGTGTTGTCTTTTTCTTTTTTATGTAAAATATTTATAAAAATTCTTTTCATAGATCCGCCAAAAAAAGTATAAGGTCAATTGATTGAGGGACTTACGCTATAGGCTTTTAATTTTCTACAAAAAAAAAAAAAACAGTTTCTTAGCTCCTGCCAGTAAGTAGATTTGTCAATCGATTTATCAGTCAGTCATCTGTCTGTCAACTAGCTAGTCAAGCTATCAATTATTAGTCTGTCAGTCAGTCAGTTAATTAGTAATTCTGTCGATCAGTCTGTCAGTCGGTAAATCAGGTCAGTTTATTTAATATTTTTAATATATAATACTAATTTGTGTTATAGTCAGTCAGTCAATCATTCAGTCTGTCGGTCATTCAATCAGTCTATTAGTCCGTCAGTTAGTCAGTCATTCCATCTGTCTGTCAGTCACTCAGTACAGCTTCCGTATTTAAATATTTTGTCTACCCTTCATATTCGACTGCCCATCTAATATGTGATTGCTGCTTATCAGATTATCATCAGATTATCTGTTCTTTAATACAATATATTTATATAATACAAAATATAATTTCAATGTGCATTTAATACCCAGCCACCAACTTGTCTTTGTTTGTCTTTGTTTGTCATCTCGTGGAACAACTCTTTGCTGGCTTGAACCTTTATCCTTGAAATAGTTAATGCGCACATTTTAATGGCTTGCAAAGTAAGGGTTGTGCCACTTAAAGTGATTAAACTAAGTTGAGCAGTTTGATTAAATTTTCTTTATTTATGTTTTTCATTTATTTTATTCATGAGAAACCGCAAATATTTTTGTACACAACCTTATTTCGCTTGCAGCTTTAGAATTTCACTTAAATATTTTAGTCGAACCCTTTTGTTCCACTTTATTGAACTGTTTAGAAAAGCGGCCGGGCCCCAACGGTATGTGCGGGTGGCCCCTGTTATTGTTATTTGTTATTGCTGGACGTGTAGCCAGGGGCAATAATCAATATTTTGTATTTTGGCGACCTTTGCGTGTTACTTAATGGCTCAAATGCCAAAAACTAACCAACAACTACTATCGACAGCTCAGCTGAATTGAGCAGAACTTAATCAAACTCAACTGAACTGAACTAAATCGAATCGTACTGAGCTGAAGTGTTGTGGAAAGTTCTAATCGAATATCATTTACTCAGCTAGCAATCAATAAATTGCTTTTCGCCAATCATCATTGGTTGAAAAGAGTCTTATGGACTTAACTGAGTGTGCGTCATAATTGTTTGGTATTTTCATTAAATTGTCAGCTGATATTAGATTTCTAGCTGTGCAGTACAGTGGAGACACAAACATTGACAATTTCTAAAAAAATAACGTAATCTAAAAATTGAAAAAAAAAAAAAAATAATAAATGAATAAGTAAGAGAACTGAGCTGTAATTGAATAAATTATTAATAAAAGAGCCACCCACAATAAAAAAAAATTATAATAACAACATAAAACAGTTCTAATAAATATTATAATGATAATATTTATGTTTCTAACAATAATATACTATTCAAATTAATAAGAAATTATTGTATCATTAATTTTATTAGTAAACCATTTATATCATTATTTTTGATTCTTACACTTCCTTAGCCAGCATATATTTTTACCTTTCATTGTCTTGTCAATGTCCACTGTACGCTAAATGTGTGACTTTGGTACGTCTCCTTGGCGCGTCAAGTCGTCACGCTAAAAGACAGCCCTTTCAATCAATCGCAAGATTGACAATCATGCGATTCAATTCTAAAACACACGCGCATATTCATAAGCATAAAAGATTTCCGTGCAATGTTCTGCTTCTAGCTGGCAATCAAATAGACAATCGCATGGACTGAAAAACAGACTGACAGACTGCCAGTCATATACACATAGATATACTCATACTGACAGTCACTAATACATGCAATCAGAAGCGAGCGAATCAAATGAATGCGAATGAGTCAAACAGCACATGCTGCAACTGGTACATGTAAATCTGATGCCAGCAATTGTTGTAGCTGTTGTTTTTGTTGTTGATGTTGCTGTCAGTCAATTGGCGTTGCTGGTGATGAATGCAAACAGGCTGCTGCCATACACTTTTCTAATGCTAGTTCATCTAGTGGCTGGTTTGATTTTATCTTGTTTTCTGTGTGTGGCTTTTCTACATTTCTCAATTTGATGACTTGACATGCGATGCCATTAAAGCACATAAATATTAAATCGTAACCAACGAGCATTGCCTGCACAAATGTGACTAGTTGCGTGTCAGATGTATCGTGCTTTCTCACGTGACACGAACATGCACAACCTACAACCGAGGAATTTTCAAATATTCGCCCAACAGTCCAAAAGTATATATATGTATATTTTTTTATCTCATTTCTTGACATATTTCATTAATGAATGAACATAATACGGGACTTATAAATGAGCGTCAAAAATATTTTGTCAATATCCAAATATATTTATTAATTTTAATTGGATTTCCCAAGATCTTTATTTCTGCGATTCATCGAACAATTATTAAATTACAGTTTTTTCTAGTAAATTTGAAACTGTTCGTGCTTATATTTCTTTACATAAGTTTTGCGCTCATCTGAATTTGTTTTTCCCCATTTTGCAGTGTTGAAAAATGTGTAAATAAATTTAGTAAGTTCTGACGGAAACCTAAAATTATTATGCGAAACGATACGAGAAACAAAATAAAATATATTATGAATATAACTTAAACTTAATAATTAATTTTTTGTCTTATGTGCGCAATTTTTTATCATATATAATTTACATATTATTATTTATTCAAAATAAGTGTGTTCACAAGCATTGTTCAACACTTGGCAATACGATACTTTTATCAAAGCACAACACGCGCCCATCTCCAGCCGTGTTGTTAATGAGAAAGTTTTTGTGTTATGACCTTTTTGGACACTTAATTAAATACTTGTACGCTTGATTAACTGGGCTATTTCTGATTTGGGCACTTGGTCTAATTAGTGCCAGTGCGATGCCATAAATTTGATAGCAGGCACTTGCCACAAGGAAACCGAAAGCCCAGACAGAAGCTAGCAGCAACATGCGTCATTTGTCAAAATGTGTGCACTGCATGCAAATGGCAACAAAAGCAGCAGCAACAACAGTAGAAATACCAACAGCAACAGCAGCAGCAACAACAGCAATGCCCGTAAACAAATGTAAAAATATTTGGCACTTAAAGTGCTGCCAGACAAATACGACAAACGTTGAAGAGTCATTTACAAGAAGTGCAACAGTAATAGCAACAACAACAGCAACAGCAACAACAACAGTAGCAACTGCAACAGTTGCAGCAGCAACTGTTGTTGAGGGGTCTGAGCAAGTCAAGCACATGGGTGAAAAATGGCGAATAATGCCGGCAAACAGAGCAGACAGCGTACGTCATCGGCGCAAACAAAGCACATGATGATGATGATGAGTGGGCGTTAAAGAAGTTCAGTTCGTTGGAGGCGGGGCAGCTGGTAACAGTGAAAGAAATAGCGCGAGAGATAAACGCAGACGGCGACGGCGACGACTGCAGCTGCCCGTCAAAGAGTCAGTCAGAGCGTACAGTGAGTGCAGTCAGTTGGACAACGAAGCAGAGTGTAGACGCGCGTTGGCGTTGACGACAATTGCACAATTCATAATAGGCAACATGACACTAACAAACACACGACCAAACACGCGTACACACACACACACACACACATACACTGCAAGTGTTAGGTGTTTAGTGTGTGTTTGCGTGTGCCTTGGAATGTTGCAAGCACAGACTGTGCTGCATACTTAACGCATCCAGGCCTTAACCATCCTGCTATTCCTCTCTGACTGACTGACTGTCTGGCTGTCTGTCAGTGTGTCACTCACAAACTTCACTTTGTTTATTTTCCAACACTGGCTCTAATGTGCGTTTACTGCTGCTGCTGCTGATTGCGAATAGCTTGCAACAAAATGAAAGAGCATTTGCCCAGTAGCCACCCACGCCCCCCCTTTGTAGCCGTAAATTACTTAGGGTAATAAGCATTATGCACAGTCTGCGCGTCAGCTTGTGGCCAACGTCAGTGTCAAATTAGTTTGGCGCTTTTGACCCATTGACCATTGTTTTCTCTCTTGACCCCTTTGGTTGGCCATGATGGCACGCATTTGATGAAAATGCCACGTTTGTTGAATTAACACAAGGATGCTCTAGCTAGGAGTGTTATTTTAAAATAATTACCTGTGACTGGCTAAAAGGCGAGATTGTTTTACCTTTCTAATTTTCGAGCGTGCATTCCCATGACAGCTTTCTGACATAGTGGTCCGTACTGGCAATTTTCGGCATATATACTGTCTATACCATTTGAAAATTTTAAAACTTTAAAACTGACAGAAAAGTTGACATAACATCTTGGCTGATGAAACTGATCTAGAATTTATTTTACCCATGTAGTTGGAGATGTCTGCATAACAAATTTCAAAGAAAACTGTTTCAGAAATATCGATATCTATTTCTAGTCTAAACTAAATCTTACATGTTTAGATTTGTCTGTTATTCAAATTCTTGCTTGTTCTTTGGGCAGCGCAATAAACTAAGCGTCGGCGTACAGAGTACAAAGTTTTGGGAGCAGGCTCCGTGCACATATATTACTTTTGTTAATTCTAACTTGAACTTTTATGATTTACTTTTATTGACATTTACCAAGCACATCTTATGTTCATTTTAGCTAGTTGCAAAATTTGTTAACCCTTTTTTCAAACCTTTTCTAATGTTATAGATATGCAGGGTAAGTCAATGGCAATATATTGTCAACTTTCGATTGACTGACTTTAGCTTTGATGTGTGCATTAACTACTGCGCGGAACGAGAAAACCAATGAGCCACAGTCGAAAATAAGAGACAAAAACGAAATCAAATAACGAAAAAACAAACAAAAACATATAAAGCCAAGGCACAAAGTAAGCGATCAAGTGTGACTAATTCACAAAAGTGACTCAAAGA